ACAAAGTTAAAACAGTATAGAGAGGAAAAAAAACCGGAACCACAGCCCGTGCCACCAATTACGGGACACAGTATGGCGGACGTATGCTACTTCCGCTTTCGCTTGAACGGGTACCGCCCTTCGAAGAGGGCTGGTCCGGAACTGACAGATATTATTTAAAGTAAAAACCGTTTAAAGTCAACTGAACCCTTGTTCTGCCACACAACTTCCTTCCCATTCATTCAGGCTCGGGCGGTTCTTGGTTTATTTAAAGGCTTATTATTTTTGCCTTTAGCCGTCAATATGAAATGTAAATTAAGAGCCAACCAAGAATGTATTAATTGAATTTCATCAAGCGGGAATGTCATTAAGGTGATATTTATTGTCATCGTTAAATAAAAGACATAGCTCGTTTATCTACCTATTTATTCTGCCTGTGCTATCGATGACTCAAAAAAGCCAAAGTAAAGCAAGGGCTATAAGAGGTCGCGAGCGCATACCATCACCGTCCGACCGTATAAACTTCGAACGTATAATTTATAGCTTCCTTTCAGTGTTTTTCACTCGGCAACAATGCCCGGCACTCCAAGTGTGAAGTTAATGTCTTTACGATGTGTCGAGGAGTAATTTGGCTTAACGAGTTCGAAGATCCAGCGGTAGGATACATTACGATTCAAAAGGTGAATTAAAGTCTGTCCATTAATTGGTTCTAGACGTAAGTAAAAAGACATTCCTGCCACTTAATTGGAAGGTATTCTTTCGTTTGTTTCAAATGAAGTTTAATTAAAAGCGACGGCAGAAGCGCAACAGGGATCCCGGCCGTCTCGTTTCTTGGTAAGCTCCGCGCGTGAGAAAAGATCTCACAGTTTCTTTCACTTGTCGCAACACAGCAGTTGACTAATGGCGGCCGAAGCGCCGACGAAACCCCGTGAGAATATTCAGCAACCGCATACAATAACGCCAGTTAAAATTCAACGAAATCTTTGCGAACAAGAACGCCACAATTAATGCAGGCGAGGACGGTTCTTGATTTCTCTTGATTGTTTTGTTTCAATTTACAAGTAAAGAAACATTTTTCCACAATTTAGCGTTTCAAATGACCTGGTTCCAAACTAATCTGATTCTGGTATTACTAAAAGAAAGGCAGAAGATGTACAAGGAAAAAATAAAAATACATTCACGGAAATTGCATCAACAATAGGTGAAAGGGTTGCAGAACAGACAGTAGCACCACCATAAACGTATCAAGATGTACGTTTATTGAATTTATTGATGGAACAAACTCTCGCATAGGGGTGAAGTGGAAGTGGCGTCACCGCGAAAGGAGGGCGTGTCGATTTAATTTCCGCCGACCGCCGTCCGAGCCCTGATGGATTACTCCACGATGCACCCGTTACAGCAATCTAACAGTTCTAATGTCATTTACAATTAAACCAATGGAATGTTGTATGAGTAGATATTGCACTAATTAATAAAGTTCATACATTCCTTCCCTTTTACAGTAAATGGCCCAATCTTGAGTATGAATTTTGATTTGCATTAGAAGTTTGTATATAATCTATTATCAAAATGGTGAATGACACCTATAACAAGGGGACTAGAAGAAAAGGTAGGATTTTAGACTTCTACAAAAAATGACGAAAGTTGTTCAGATTTCTACGAATTCTGTTAGCAAAAAATCTGTTAATTGTTTCGTTTGTTGCAATCTTGCAATTATTTTGTTCGTTCATAGTCTAATGATTGAATGACAGGTATCGGTATTCAATTATAAACGGGGTTATTAAAGATTTGAAAAATAGTAAAACCGCTTTAAGGCTGTAATTATTCTTTTCCATTAGGATTCAAGTACCTATATTCATTTGATTGATTGATAAACCATGATGACAGAAAAATACTAAGTTATAGTCATTACGTCCAATCGTTTATCGATCATGGTAATGTCTTCGAGATGGGATGAGATGAAGAAGGAGTGTTTCATTCAGAGGGGCGTGTCAATTTGATATCCGCCGGTGGCCTCCATGATGGATGACGGCTTTATTAGCCCGGCCGGCTTTACGACCAATAACACTTCAAAAATTCCACCGAAAGGATTTCACATAACTTTCCTGTACACAGTAATGTGTTTTTAAGAGAATGAATTAAAATATATCCCCCAAATGTCATAGCTAAAATTAACAGTACCAATGGGCAGAAGATAAGATCAATTCTAATGGGACTTATGCATTTCTGTTCGCGATAATTGACACGGAGCAAGAATGGACTCCAGGTAGAGCTTGCTTGGCGCCTTTTTAAATGGCCTATTGTGTAGGGACGGCGCCTAAAATCGGTCAGTTTTTATTTGCATCGCGAACAAAAACTATACATCTGCCCAATTTAGATTTGACCAAGAATATGATTCTTGATTCCGATAATTGTGGTAAACGACATGAAATTTATTACAATGCCGTGTAGGTAGAACTATGGTTAAAATTTGTGGATTACCCAAATGGTTCAAATCAGCAATGATGATAGTGTGACTTCCAATTGTGACTGCTATTACCATAGTAATTGTGCCAGAATAAGTGTGCTGGTTTTCGAAAACGACTTGGTGGCGTACTACACCTACTCCGTTCGCTTTACGTGGGCACCCACCTACAAAACCAACCCACTGTCATATTTGTCGTTCAATACATCCTACCTACGTGTCACCTCACCTAAACGGCCTAGCCTTCGAAATTAAAGAAAAAAATAGCTTTGGTCGCTTACCGAGTACGTTAAACCGTATCTGCTGACGTCGGCTTTCCCAAAGGCTGAATATCCTCAACCACAGTGACCTGGGTGTCACTGCAGCAGTTATAGGTATCACCGGTTTAAAACAGGTGATAAATGCACACTTTAGTGTCAATTGTCAAACTTTACACAGTCAAACTAGCACGAATTCAAATTTCGAAACGTCAAAATTTGAAACAGAAACATGCGCTCGAGTGTTAGCGCGTTGGACAACGGCGCGACTGAGCGTGAGCGGCGAAAAGAAGGCGGCACGCGCCGGTGGGGACTTCATTCACAAAACCGAGTGGCGGGGCAGAGCGGCGCGGGGGCCGTGGGCTCGGTTCATTCATGCAGGCTCCGAGCTGCTGCTGGACTGTCTTCGTTCCTGCGCCCGCGTCACGCCAAAACGAATCACTAAAAAATAACTTGCAAACTTTACGTGGCAATCCATACTCATTAAAATGCAAAGAGTGGCAGACCCTGTTTCCTGTCGTTAACGTGCTACCAACTTAATGCTGCCACAGCAAATCCAGTTTCTTGCGAAATGCATTAATAGAAAATTTATGTAGATAAATCATCATTCAATACCTACATGAACATTGATATCCACCACGATATTTTATTGGGAATATCCCTAAGAAAAATTTAAGCGTCTGCAAATTGGTCAATAAACGTTTTTGGCAAATCTTTATTGGGAGGACGTGATCCAATTAAAGGATTGCCTAATAACGTCAGTAGGTGGTGTGTTGGTGTTGCAAATAATAACGTCACCATTCAAACGCATATAGCGACCGTGTCCAATTGCGGTTTGGAAAGATGCAGTTGATGTACAGTATGACGCCGCGAAAGCAAGCAAATTACAAGAACCGGTGCTGGCGAATGCTCTCGTGTGGGTAACTTCGGTGCTCCAACCGCTTATGTAACCGTGCACACAGCACGTGCCCTGCTTACCTCACGGTATTGCAATATGGGGACCTTTTTTGTTGCACCGCTGAAGGCGACAAGTTTGCACAATGAGCAACAACAATAACCACGGGTTTCCCTCGCTCAACAACCAGTTGCGAAAATGCAATCATTGAGCATTTATTAAGGCCTGATAATATAGCCGGTGATTTGGCGAGTTAACTAGTAATACTGTAAGTAATTAGCTGTGTATTTCTAGCAGGCGGTGTAGAACTGGTTAGGTGGGCGTAATTAAAAGCGCATGTAGGCGAAGATTGCACTTTCCTCGCAACTTTACACCATCTTTAAGAGTACCTACTCGTAAATCAAATACGATTTACTTTACAATTATTAGAATGTGCAACAAAAGCAAATTGAGAGAAAATTAACAATTTGCTCAGGTGCTTTTAAAATTAGTTCCGTGGTTCCGTCATAACACTTCCACTCATGTGTTATGATGATGAACGAAAAAATTTCAAACCTGCAGATTGTTGTTGTTACATAACTACACGAGGAAGAAATGTCAAATAATCATTACTACGTTGCGTAATTCCTATTGATAACGACATTTGTGATAGCCATTATTTGTTTTGGTATATTACCCATTAGGTATGTTTGTTGCATTCGCGCATGTTTCTAAAACAAAACGATTAATTCAACAGTGCATAAATCATAACCGATAACATTTTGCAACAATGAAATAACGCAAAGAAGTCTAAATTAGAAAGACAGAACCCAACAAGCAACTCAATTGGGTAACTGTATTTCATAAACATTTGATACCGTTTGCCGCAAGCTCGTATTTTTTAGATTCGAGTTTCTAAAAGGCATGGAGTTAAGTTTCTATCCTGGGCCTGAACATGCTTCCTCTCGGTTGTCAATTAATGCAATAAGTGGTTCAACCACCGGTACCGCGGCGTGCGGTACAGTTATAATGCGTCAGGCTAGATAGGGCAGCGACGTAAGAACTAGGGTTACGAAGTGAAAGGCTTGAGATACTCGTATCTTCCTGAATCCGCTATTGCGGTATTTTATTTTAAACGTTAATAATAGTACTGTACACTAACTAATAGCTTAGTCAACGTTTAGTCTAAACCAGTGGGCCTAGAGATACGAAATATCAATTGGGACTTTGGGAACTCTACACGCGTCTTATTAAGTTGTTTTCTATCTTCCCGAAAGTTTTTTAAACTGTGTTTGAAATCTTTTTAAATGAGAAACGGTCTTATACAAAAAAATTGGTTGTTGTTTGAAGAAAATGCCGTGTATTTTTTTAGTTAGGGTTTGGGATGCATTATTTTTAATACGGAAATGAATAATGTTCAACATACCTGCGAGACATAGTGCGATGTAATCCCTTGCAGTCGCCGATCCCTCAGGCAGGCTCCACTCGACGGTGAACACCGTCTCATCCACCGTCCACGAGATCGTCGCCTTACTGCTCTCATTGTCTTCGTACACAGTATCTTTCTCATCTATCCCACTGTTTATACTTTCTTTGTTTACAGTATTTATGGCACTTTCTGGTTGGTCGGCGTTGGCACTTGGTTCTTCGCGGTCAGTAGTAGTTAATTCAACACTCTCGTTAACTGTCACATCACAGCTCTCATCGTTCGGTACATCGTCATCATTTTTAACACTTTCGGCGCAGTCAGGACCATTGTCTTCTGACATGGCTGTCTAAGTTCTTAACACATCGTGACTAAACGCCAGTTCTGGGTAAAGTTTAAATTAGTAGTTAATTTTAGAGCGCCTACAGGTTGTTCCGCGGCAACTTTTCGAGTTCGTAAACATATAAGTGCGGGATAAGTTAAGAGCGTTTACGCCGTTTGGCGCAAAAACAGTACTATTTCAACTCGTTACAATCATTAACCAGTAATACTACAAATATGTTATAGGCATAAATAGTCAGGCAATTTTGTCGTTTAAATAGTTAATTGAGAAAATATTGCGATTAGTTTAGTATTTAAGAATTCTATCAAGATAAGTCCACACAGGTTTTGTAAATTTCCACCTTAGCGTCAGTTTACAAGCTGAAATTTATATTAAAATACTGTGAAAACGATTTAACAAACATTTATATTCTATAGCATAGATCCTTGGGAAAATAGTTATCTGAGAAAAATTTTAGATTTAAGCATTTTACAATAAGAAATCACATATGAAAAGAACATGAAATACCCAAAAATCAAAGTGATTTTTTCACCAATATTCTTCCTTTATTTAACATAATAATAGCTTAATATAATAAAACAACATCTTTTTTAAAATATTTACTTTGAAACGATATTTAATTCATTGTTATTGTTTTGCTATAAACATTTGAAAACTATTAAAAAACGCCGCGCGCGAATCATTTCCAATGATGCCCCTTGAAACGCCGCGCTTCGCGTAAACGCTCTTAAGCGTAAGGGAGAACTGTCTCCAAGCGGTCGTTTGGAGGGGGTTGTGTAAGAGACTGGCGCGGGGCGGGGGCACCAGCCGCCGCGACGCCAGCCCGACAGGCGCCGAGCGTCTGGCCCGACCTACCCACTACCGCCTGTCTGTAATCATGTTCTTGTTATGCACTCTGCTTGTAATTAGGCTCATATGTGGAAATCGACAAGAAGGGACAGATTTGAGCTTATTTCTTGGGGAATATAACTGTGTTGAAGTAGGTAAAAGGTAAAATGGAATTGAAGAGATTGATGATCAACCCAAAGCCTATTTTCAAAATTTTATTCATCTGTTATTATTTATTTATTCAGCTGTTTAGCTGAACCAACTCATAGAGCTATTAAAAACAAGTAATGTCTAATTTAGGATATATAGATTGTGAGGATCTTTGTCTTCATATTTTAAAGGGAAACATTGAATTCTAGCTTAATTTCCATTAAAATTAAAACATTGCTAATTTAATAGCAAGAAAAAGAGCATCAAGCTCTTCTTACTCAGCATTACAGTTACAGCTGTGACCTTTAAAGATAGATAAATAAATAGCCTTGGACATTTTGACAATTATTTTTCTCTATACCAATTTAAAGGGTGCAGTAGGTAAGCACTGAAATAAATAGTTAAGAATTATTTTGATAATAGAATTAGGTTAATGAAAAAATTTAAAGGTAAAGGAAGAGAATGGGACCCTCAAATATATCAAACAAAGGCTTGACAGTGCCTACCTCGAAGATGTTACTTAATTCGGGTAATCAGTTTTATAATAGTACCAATACTGAAAATCATTTATTATAACCCATAGTCGCTAGCAAGCAAATGATCACTTATTCAACTTGAGTCAAAAGTTTCGAGTGATTAAATGAAACTTATATCATTTTTTTTAATCACTTGAAACTTTTCTAAGAGTATGTTTCAGTAAATTCCTAAAAGGACCATCTACAAAATTGTTTTCATTTTTCCAATCTTTCAGTTACTGTTTTCTACTTTCAATGCTCTTGAAATAACTCAATAAAGATAAATTTATAAGAGATCAGAGTAAATTCAAAAACCAACTTTAATGTAATACAGTTTTTCTTAATTTTCATGAAGTTTTTTAGTTAAATGTAATTCTAATAAGCGAACACAGAATGGAAGTAAAGTTGAGCTGGTGGGTGATAGCCGATAGGAATGTATCAATATTAGTTTTTTTTTATTAATTTACTTGTATATTTTATTAGAAAATACAACTTTAAAGAATAATATGTAACTTTAAATAAAAATGAATTATGTTTCTTTTTTAAGTGTATAATCTAAATTAAAAATATAACTGCCCTATTGATTTTTAAAAAGATTTAGGCCTATAAAAAATCTACATGAAAATTAGAAATTATACACCACCTTAATTCGCTTACGATGAAATAAAAGAAAAATTAAATCATTTTGTGAGTCGCAAAAGATGAAAAGCATTTTTTACGTCCCACAACTAAACGATACAACAAATTGTGATAATCGAGCATAGAAAGTAGTTACAACCGAAAATACTTACAAACTGTGAGTTGAGGTATATTTTCGTTCAAAATAATAATTCTTAAGACTTTTTCTGTTCATAGCAAGGAAGATGATCACAGATATCCATATCTGTGAAGATGATCGATAAATCTCAAGTTATAACACGATAGCTTGCAGTTGCACATTGCACCACTACGTTGGAAGTTGTCCATTGCACAATAACATAATTATAGCATTTATTTCTCCCGGTGTAATTCAGAAAAAGTCAATAAAAGTTATTTCACTTGCCAAGGAAACACTCAAAAGCTAAAAAATCTTCAATGCAGACAAATTACGAAAACCGCAGAGTTTGACATTGATGACATTGGCAAGTTTTGTTCGTTCAAAAGTTTCAGTCCAACATTTTAAACCAAAAGTGATGCTTAAGATGCTTTGTAGATTTTTACAATTTGTAAAAAGCTTACATAAAAACCATTTCTTCTCACTTTTTATCATTATTATATCTTAGGCATCTTAGCCATCCTGCTGCTGGACAAAAACATTTATTGGAAAGAAGATTTATAAAATCGAAAACTAGATTTCAGAACGACCATCCATCTGACACTTTAATTTTTTAAAATATCTGCAATGGCTCTGGGGTTAGGTATTTTATCTCAAATTGTTTCCGTAAACTGGCAACAAGTTAAACTTATTTCCCTTTGGTTTTTGGGTGATTTACGTAAATTAAGTAAAGGTTTATGGAATTCAGACGATCAACACAAGCAAGCAAAGATTTGTATTTTTTTTTGTATCTTACGTACAACTTATTTGAGCGTTAAATTCAAATATTATATCAGTGTGAGTTTATAGCAACGCAAAGCAACGATAATTTGGAATTTCTGGCTGATAACCACTGTAGATAAAATAACTGCCTATCCAGGCTATGAACAAATGCGAAACAAAAAAAACTGTCAGTGATGACATTGACAGTTTTGAATTTTTAAATTGAAGAATGGACGTCGTCCTCTAATCCATATCTGTGACGTCGTCGGTTTACTTACAAAACTTAAAAACTTTTGAGTTGTTTGATTAATTAAAATTCCACCATTAAATCTGTGTTTTCATGCCCAGACTACAGAGCAAATAACAAACCCAAACTGAATGTGTAAAAATTACATACTTGGAGACGAGTAAAAAAGAACAATGACTTCAGTTGCTCCATCAGACACAGAATCTAATGTTAGTGGATTTATACGGTACAGTGAAAAAGACATAAAACATTTGTACACTTCAGTGATAGAGGTATGTTTTATTATCAGTATAGTAGCTATATTGTTTATATCAAGTTACACCTGGGTTTATAAAAATACTTTTTACTTTACAGAACATGGAAATGATCAATCAAGATATACTGGAAGTTGAGAAAAACCTAAAGCACTTGGTGAAGCAGTCGGGGCCTTTAGAAAGTCAGCTGGCTGCTCTTCTTCGAACACTGCCAAAACCAAATATTAGTTTACAAATGGATACCGATGATGATGAATGATTATTAAGTAGAATATAAGGAAATTTAATGTGTCTATAATACTTTTTATCATAAGTTGATGTCAGAACAAAAATTAAATAAAGACATTAATTTTAATTTATTAATTTATTTAAAAAACTAATGTACCTACCACAGAACATAGAGGTTCCTACCACTTATGTACTACCTACTTTTCACTTCAGTAGAAATTATTGGTATCCTACCTAGGTGTTGCTTGAAAATGTTGGGAAGACCTTTGGAATTTTACAAATTAATAATGTACACACCTCATCTTACACACTACCTATTCATTGCCTAGTTATAATAATTTTACCATTTGTCAAGTAGAAAACTGTATAGTTTTACCCAGCTGCGCCAGAAGGAGGGTTATGTTTTTATACCGGTTATTTTATAGGGGGTCGTGCATGCAGTGCAGATTGATGAATAGTCTCTGCATTGTGTTGCGACAGAGCAATACTGGCCAGCGACGCGGGACATAAAGGGGCGCCGTATACATTTATTTTTAAATTCAATTTACTACTGAAATAATAATATCTGATCAGGATGGGAATTTTCAGAAAATGCGGATCATATTCAAAAGCTACACGAGGCTATTAACTTCCAACCTGAAACCAACATCGTCGTCAATAAAAGCAATAAAACATTGGTGGAAATCGCTTTAAAAAGTAAGGCTACAAAGTGTCGTAAAGGTAGATATAGACCTATAGTTCTGACTTTCGGTACCCCTACCGAAAGCCACCCCGGAAGATGGACCCCAGTGCACCTTGGAGGAGGGGTCCACAGTGATAAATTATAATATTATAATCCCACTCTGCTTCTAGGCCATTTTGAATAAGTATTTATTCACTGAAAATTAACAAATTAGCGATCCAGATGTAATGCAATTTTGTAAACTGTCACAATGCGTTAAACGAAAACGGTTATTTTTCACATTGAGTTATAATGTACTACGTAGTAATATTACTTCAATGATTTTTCAAAATATTTACAATTACGGTTGTTACTTGATTTTAATAAGTTTTATAAGTTTATTTAGGATAATGGCAACGATTTCTACTAGGGCGAAGTCTCCTACGCGAGCAGAAGCTATAGCTAGAGCTTTAAAACCTGGCCCAGTGTTTAATACTGGTGTACTTTTAGGCAAGTTTTCCTGATGAATTAAAGTAGGTACCTACATTATTTAGTTTGATTTAGGGGACGTATCCTCGTTAATACTTGTTCACGAACTCTAGACCACCAATTTCGTAGTGAACGGTAGTAACCACTGAGCCAAACTTTGCAGGCAACTGGGTCGAAGATCGCATAGAATGTCCCAAAGCCGGCACCTTGTATTTTCCACCCAAAGAGCAAATCAATTACGAAAAAATGAAACCGGAATCTCGACAGCCAGATTTCAGAATAAATAAATTGACCAGTTTACAGGTGTGTTCATCTTCCTTTCACGTATTTCTTCCTTCTCCCTCCCTATCCGTAGTAGCATACCGAGGAAAACTTCTTCTACTTAATTCAGTCAAATCTACTTAGTAGCTTTAAAACCCATAATAAAATTCAGCACACGACTGTAGTGCGGGGCTTTTCTGTGAGGAGGAAATCAAGCCTAAAAGCCTAGGCGCAGACCATCGATTTTTCGTCGGCCGATAGTTTAGTCGGGCAGTTAATCAGTAAGGGCATGTATGGAACTGCGCACATTACACCGATTCTTCTTACAATTTAAAATCGGGCACAACTATCGGCCAACTAAAAAACTGGTCTGCGCCTAGTCTAAGGGTTATGACACCATGTTCAGGGTAACGTGCACTCCATCATTCGGCACGACAGCCACGACTACTGCGGCAACTTCGCCACGACCAACGACCTCGTGTACAACCACCTGCCGAAGCCACTGTGCGGACCCAATCAGCGCCATTACAAGAGAAGCGCGCATCAGTTCTACCCACAGCCGGACCTCATGAAGTGTTTTGTATGTTGTTTTCTAACACCGTTTTAGCAAAAATTTAAGATAAATTTAAAGTAAACCCAGTTATGTAGAATCGACATGTCCCAATGATGAAGTCCATGGTATCTCTTAACCTATGCTGCGTTTACACTGCGCGGAAATTCACTCGAACTATCTCATCACAAATTGGTCTATACCACAAGGTAGCGTTTTAGGATGTATCCTCTTTTTAGCATACATTAATGACCTCCCAAAAATCTGTAACTCATTGTGCCTACTATTTGCCGACGACATCTCGCTTTTGTTTAAAGTCCCCAACAATGATACGGTACATACTGAGTAAATAAATTAGCCAAGTCAAGTCAAAAAAAAAACAGTGGAGTGGGGATGAATTTATGAATGAATTTCATCCCCACTCCTCTGTTTTTTTGACTTGACTCGGCTAATTTCCGCATAGTGTAAAAGCAGCTAATGATCACGATCAGCTTTTTCTTCCACCAACTATATTTATTTCTAGGGTAATGTAACTGAGTGGGGGTTGAGGAAATATAAACAATATGAATGGGCATGCACTGATGTCTCCGATTACGCGTCGACCCTGTACGACGACACGTACGTGCCGCCTTTGCCCCACCAATACCTTCAGAGATGCGAAAGAAAAGCACGAAATTCGTAAGTACATGATATTTTGGGTGTCTTTAGAAGGAAGTATAATAAGACGACATANGACAACATGTTACAGCTTTACATATATTTTATTTGCAGGAGCTTCACAAAAAGTTTCCGATTTAAAATGACAAAATCAAAACAATGATAACATCAAGAATCATTTTCTTCACTTTTTGCAAAAATTACTAGTCTTTACAATATCACATTTTGTTCGAGAAGAGGACAGTGACGTCCATATAAAAATTGTAACAATACAATAATTCTTAATGCTTTCATATAGCCATCACCTGGCACCAACACGAGATCAGCAAATAGTCTTAACGCTAAGTTTAGTCTCAAACATTACAACTAATAACCACTTACACAACTATGTGATAATAACTTAACAAGATTTTTCCTTAATAATAACGTTGGCAGTTCATTGGAACCTATAGAAAAATATATCAAAGAATAAAGGCAAAAAATTATGAGTCAAAGAAAGTTAGAAACACAACCGACTAGCTGCAGACTGCATTATCGAGAAGTAAAGGAATTGGCTTGAGGCAGTTTGATGAGGCCGAGCCCCGCCGGAGCTTTGAACCCGTTGCTTTGTACATAACTCTGTTGGGAGAAAACGGCTTGACTGGGCCCGCTGTGTTGAGCGAATCGCGGCTGCGGTATGTGGACGTGGCCATTGTACTGCATCTGCGGGAAGACCGGCGAGCTGATGCGCGCGAAGTTCTGAGGGGTCTGGTAGTTGCTGAAACTGGGCGCGGTGCAGCCGCGGAAGCCGTCCACGACCATCGGCTCGCCGCACACCGACTCCTCGCGCGACGGCGGCTGCGAGAACGCGTTGCGCTGGTTCATGCTCGACGCCTGCGACTCGAACCCTGAGCTCTGGCTGGAGGAACGACTGCCGTCTAAATTGAACACCGTTCTCTCGCCTTCGGAGCCCCAGTAGCCGCCCGCGACCCAAGACGTGTTGAGGCCCAGTTTGCTCGGAGAAATGAGCGGCCTGGACCGATTTATCGGATTCGGAGCGACGAAACACGGAGTGGCTGTAAACTTTCTGAGAGAAAATATAGAATTGTTGCTCATAGCTTTTTTTGGACTACCTATGCACAAGGAACTTATGCTTTCATCTAATTCGGAGTCTGAGTCGTCTTTTGCTAGCTTCTGGTACTTGTTAAACGAAGGCTTAATGAATACATTTTCAGAAACAGAACTTGGACTTTTGGAAGTTAATGAATTAACGCAAAATGTGGAATTCAGTTTAGGTTTTGACCAAAGACTGTCAGAGCGCGGCGTGAATGACCGACCGTTCATTAAACTGCTGTTTACTGGGTTCAGAGTCTCATTAGAGGATTCAGAAAGGTTATGAAGTCCAAACTTATTGAGGGAAACGTCATCATCAGTGTCTAAAGATATCGTATCTTCTTCGTCCACTATTGAAGTCTTATTGCCATTCACTAGGTTTTTCATTTTCTTTGGTGTCACTAGAGCTCTTGTAAATCTGCTTTTACTTGTTTTACTCTTCATGTTTCTGTATACAAATAAGACTGCTAGAGCACTAGTCAACTGAAACAAAATAGAAAAAATTATAGGCATATCTACTTAGGCTTAATTTGAAACTGACTTAGCAATTAAAAGTACATAGTATACCTTACCTTTATAACACTCATTACTACTGGATCTATGTCAACTGGGGGCTGGGCTATAGTCGATATAACAAATACTGACCACAGTAAGTCAATTATGATTGTATATTTCAAGTTATTAATATTCCATACATGTCCAATTATTTGTATTAGACACACAAAACCTCCCAGCATTTTCTGAGTCATTGTAAATATACTTTCTAAATCTTTGCCAATAAATATTTTTGGCATCACTTCAGTCAGAGATATGCTATTTATGTTACACAAGTAATTTTCAAGAGATGGGAATGTCATTATGGCTTTCATTTTGAGTATAGCTATGATTCTTTCCAGCAGACCTACTACAATGTCTTTTACATTATTCATGGTACTGGATAAACTGTTGTTTTTTAGTACATTTTTGTAGCATTCAACAGATACAATCATTATCAGTATTCCGGCAGTCAACATGGAGGTATTATTGATAATGGATTTCAGGATTTGGCTTCTTTTCTCCATCTTCTGGCCTTTCTTATCTGGTGTTCTGGCTTCAAGAAATTTGTATCCTAAGAGCGTCTCTTTTTCTTTATGCAGTTTCATTTGAAGTACCCTTTTGCAGGGGCTGCATAATCTATAAGCTTTCTCCAGTTGTACCCTGAAAACATACAATGTTAATTTTTACACAGGTGGAACTGGAAGGTTTCACAATAATTATCACAATAGAAACTCTAAATGTTGAAAAGTAATTACCATTTAGCTAAGTAGGTTGTTTACATCAAGTTTATCATTAGAATTGCTAATTACACGTTTTAAAATTTGCTAGTGAAGAAAATTCTGTTATCATTTAGTAGTAACCGAGATTAAAACGGGCATTTGATAATGAGTTGTGTAAATACCAGCCAGTGCTTGCGTAACACATTACTGCTAATTTTTTTGAAGGTATTTGTAACAATATTCAGTTTCCACTGAATATTGTTACAAATACCTTAAACAGTGTTAATACCGTGTTTTCATAAATTTTAAAGGCATTAGAAGAATGACAAGTTTTTTTGAAGCAATTCACAGAATTGGGGGCAATTGATTGATGAGTTGGCCTATTTGGACCAATCAAATTTGGATAGCTATAAAATGGAGTACTCACTTGTAAGATTCAATCTCTTCATCAAAGTTCCTTTCATTCATGGGGACAAAGTTGGCCAGTTGTGCCACCTTCAACTGCTGGTTTATGTTACACATCTGGCACAAGCCATTCTTTGGGGGAGTCTTCTGGAACACTTTCGGTGTCTGTAGAGATTGTTCTGTGGGTATCACCGGTTTGTTGTAGTCACCATCCTGAAATGTTATGTTTAGAAAAATATTAATATGAATAAAATTACCATAGGTTAGACAGATAAGACATTTCTATCATTTTAGATAAAAATGCCCTCACATTTATTTAATATTAAATGCAATAGGTATTTAAAACAAAATGTTTTTTTATTAAAAAATAAAACGTAAATTGTTGAAACAAAAAATAATTTTCATTGGGTTGATAATACAATAATGATATTAATATTATTTGCTAAGAAAACAGCACCAACATAATCTAGTAGAAAAAAAGTACCACTCTCACCTTGGTGAAGCCATTGTACTGATCACATTTTGGACAAGTCCAGCTGTTGCGATTTGGTAATTTCGTCCAAAAGTTACTATTACAAAACCAACAGTTCACACGCCAAGGCAACGTCGACCTAAAATTAAGGAAATATTAGCACAACTCGGGCGGGAAAGCTGATAAGATAACCTTACTTCACAGCTGCACTTACCTAAGCTTGAAAACTAATTTGATGACTAATATGCTACACAGTATAGTAGTTATTGACAAAAGCACTGTTTCCATTTTATAAATATGTTTTAATTTTGGATACATCTCAGTTCTTTTACACTTACAAATTCATATTTAGTACCTAACCTAAAAGCACGCCCACACAAGCCGAGAATTTCGCGTACATGTCAAAAAAATGCCTCCCGATCACCTGCCGAAGCTTCAGGTTTTGTGTCAAAAGAAAAGTAACAGCCAATCAGCGTTAATCATCTTAAAATTACAGTAACGCTATTGGCCAAAATATTTTGAATACTCTCAATTTTTTTTTTTAAATTAGTGATGATCTGGATGTTATGCTACCGGTAAATTGATAAATTGCATCGATTTTACAGGAATTCAATTGAATGAAAAAATAAATTGTCACTAATGTCAATTTTTTTAGGTTAAATGTCAATAAAAAACACGATCACGTTTGTTTACAGGTTTTCATGCATTTTCTTGTAATTAATGAGAAAACCTATGCCTTTTTTATTTGAAATTCAGTAATAAGTCGTTCACTGGATCAAAGAAAATGGTTTCCGATAACAGTGCTATCTTGTATTTGTGTAATTTCGATGATCAGTTGAGCAAATCAGGTTGGTAACTATGTCCCTTATTTTAACTCCAAAAAACATGCAGTTATGTACTTTATCTAACATTTTAATAACAACAAAACTTTAATAAACTTCAGAAAATCAGGCGCTTGATAAGCTTTGGTTGGGAGAATGGTCAATAGAGAACAAAGACTTGTGCAAGGAACTGCTTTGTTCAGACTTGGATGGAGAGCTCTTGAACGTAATTAGGAAATACCGGGACAACAGCAATGACTTGGAAAACATTCTTCATCTGGCTGTGAGTTCTTTGCTGACATTCTGTGATCAAAACTGGAATCCACATCCAAAAGAAGTCAATTTAGAAGAGTATCTCCATATGAAGTGGCCCGAGGGTGTTGATGTGAGCTTGAAGCTGCAACGGGACTCAGAGCCCATCTACGTGAATATCATACACCCAGAACTGTTGTATTTTTCACACCAAATCTTCAGTGCTTTGTATTCTGTTGAACAAAATTTGGTAAGTTTTCATATGAAATCAATCAATATGAATTACAAAATATCCTTACAATCTTAATTTTACACCACATCAAGCATGGTTTGATGCCTTACATTTGTGTATGCCTATTTTAATTATTTATTTTAAATCAACTCTGGTAGTATTGTATTTGTTAATCTTAACTCTAGGTGCACCTATGGTGGTGTTTTCGAAGCAAAGTTCTCCATCAGAGAGCCCTTGAAGACACTAGCGCTACAGTCTACTCTGAACTGGAGTTGATAATGGCGAAGTTGACAAATGAGCTCCAAAACCTACAAAATAAGCCCCGTCTGCAAATACTGCTTTGCCTGGAAATAGCACAGGCATACTTGGTATATGGTAGAGTGCAAAAAGTGGAGGAATATTTGAACCGAGCTAGAGATATATCTGGCTTGAAACTGGAGTTAACTGGTAAGTGCATTAAATTGTCGTAATTTATAGTTTATAATTTGTTACATT